ATTCTCACTATTGAATGAGATAACAGATATTAAATTACAAATAATTCTTTGAAAGATAAAACTAAAAAATTAGGTACGATAGCTGGCATCACTAATTGGAATGAATGGGTATGGCCTGATGAAGGTGTTGAAAAAGGTTATATTTTTGCATGGCCTTTACCAGGAATTGGCTCTTGGATAAAATTTTCTCCCCAAAAAATTGGAAATATTCTAAAGAATTATTCTATCGAAAAACCCAATCCAAAAATAAGTCAACACACACACTCAGATAAACCATGGACAATGCCATTTGTGGAATACAAAGGTATAATAATTGCATCTGTAATATATATTTTATTTACTGATTGTGATTTTTTTTTTAATATTAGAAAATCCCATAGAAGAATGTGATATTGAAGTAGAGGTGAAAATAATCTAAATGAAAATTTTATCATTAAAAAATCTAAATATTTTTATTATTCTAATTTATAGGATCAAATGATAATTGATTATGAAGAAAATTTGGAGTTAGATCAGTCTAAAAGGTTAATTATTGATAATTGATGACATTTATAATCATATAATTTTTTCCTACCTTAATTTTGCAATAGATTATTTGTTTTTGGGTGGGCTTTAAAAGAATTTCAAAAGAATCAAAAACCACCAATTAAAAGAATGAGTCCAAAGGTAAAAAACTTGCTAGAAATTATGTTTCATACAGGAACAGTAAATCCAAACCAAAAAATGACAGCTGATAATATGCACGAAGAACTTTTGGAACGTGTGAAGAACGAAGAGCTTGAAGAAGAAGAAATTCCAAAGATTTCGACCATTGTCAATTGGATAACTAGAATCTATGCATGTTGGAAAAAACAAATGGCAGAAGAAACGTTGGACATATCTCATTCATAAATTTAATTTTTGGTCAATAAAAACAAAATAAAATAAATAATTTAGTTTTACTAATTTTTGGTCCAATAAAAACGTATAAAATAAATTAAATAATTTAATTTTACTAATTTTTTGAGCTCGAATCTGTCTCTCCCACTAAGTAAAGTCTTTCTCAAGACAAATGTTTAAAAACTTTTTTCGATATATAAATTAAGATAGATAATATGCAAGTCATCGCGTGATTAAAATTTTAGGTCAATATATTTTTTTGTGGATTTTTTTTGTGCTGCATTTTATGGTCATTTTAAAAAACATAGTAGATCGTCAAATTTTTACCCAAAATTTTAATAGTATTTTTCTGCCGTTTATAAAAGGATCGGCAATTAAGGGCGATCATTTTTCAAATTTTTCAATGGTGGAAAAAATGTAAAACTCAAACTCCTATAACTTCTGAAGGAAATATGTTACACATTTCAAATTAAGGATATATATATTGAACCATAGGACAATAAAAAAATGAAGAGCTTTTTTTAATTTCATAAAAATTAAGGTAGAAACTGATTACAAAAACCTAATTAATATTAAGAAAAATGAAAAAGGGCTTCATTTTTTTAAAGACCATGACGAAAATAATTCAATAAACATAATCTTACTTCAATATATGGGGGTTCTCTAGCAAAAGGTACAAAATTGATTGCATCAAAAATATTGATTTGAGGTACTTCATTATTATTACTCTCTGCTGCTTCTTGGTATGCTCTAATTCTGTTCACACAAAGAATTTTTCTATATTTTGACTAAAAAAAAATTTGAAAATTAATTTATATTATATCAAAATAAAAAAATAGACTCGATTAATTAATTAATTACCTTCAAACTATAAATTATCCCTTGATCTAAGGGTTGTAGAATAGATGTAGTATTAGGAGGGAGAAAATGAACTTTAATGTTTGATAAAGTAGGTATATTTTTGGCATTGTGAGAACTTGCATTATTATCTAAGAGCAAAATTATATTTCTATTTTGTCTAACCATCTTACTATTAAACCTTTCCAGGTAATGTTTAAAGATGCTTCTTTGCATCCACGCTTTAGTGTTCCAATAATACCAAACTGGGAGTGAATTTTTTCCAATCCCTCTCAAAGGTCTTGGATTTTCATGTTTATGAATAAAAAGGACAGGAAGCTTTTCTCCAGTTGAACTGCAAGTAAGCATAGCAGTTATATGATCTTTAGGACGTTTTCTTCCTAGAACTGGTGCATGAGCAATTGTCCTGTTAGGCTCTAGCCTCCAGAATAATGCAGTCTCCTCACAATTCCATATATCATTGGGACTATATTCTTGTAAGATTTCTTGAAGTTGAAGCTGCATGTCAGCAATTTCTTGAATAGGAGCACTCATTGATTCACCTCTTTTTTTATAACTATGCAAATTATTTCTGTTTTTAAATTTAGCTAACCATCCTGAAGAAGCATTAAAATTATTAATTCCAAAAATATTAGCAAATTCTCTTGCTTTTTCTTGAATAATAGGACCACTCAATGTTAAATCTCTAGCCAAGAGTTGGTCAACCCAGATTCTTGTCGCCTCTTCAATATCAGGATAATCAGAAGTTCTATTTCTATATAGATGACTAGTACTCAAAGAACTTGCATCATAATTTAACCATTGAGAAGATTGCCTCAATATATCAGAAACAGATTGTGTAGATATTTCATACTCTTGGCAAGATCAATTCCTTTAATATTTGGATTATCTCTCTTTTTTTCACATAATTCTTTTTTTTGTGCTTTAGTCAATGTTTTTCTTTTTTCTAAATGATTTTTAAAATGATTATTTTTGATGAAATGTTTATTAACATTTTAAATTTTAATTAATTAATTTTAGGTGACTCACTTGGATTCTCTTCTGATCTGTTTTGTTGGGACATGTTTTGATTTTTATTATTATTTATTATTAAAAAAATTTAATAATTAATTATTACACATCAAAGTTTGATATTTTTCAATTCCCAAATCAAGATCTTTTATACCTATTTGAAGTAATACAATAGTATTTCTAAAATAATCAAGAGTGAGGTCATTTGTAAGATTAAAGAATGATGACTTCAGAATTAGTCATTTATAAGATTAAAAATGATGACTTCAGAATTAGTCATTAACAAATAATCTTTAATCATTAGCATCTGAAGAAATAAAAAGAAATGACATATTGATAGTGTCACTGCCAAGAAATAACTAGCAATATGTTGGATTAAATTGCAATTAACATTCCCATTTATTTCTAATTACTTTACATTATTAATATTAATAATTGCGCATCATTACTCTTATTAGCCCAAAAGAGCAAAGATCATCATTATCTGTAATATTGAGAAAAATTTATTATAAGTGACATATATGAATTTTTAAAAAATATCCGATAAACCAAATTTATATGAAAAATCTGTTAAATCCATTATACCGAGATAAAATAATTATAGAAAAATTTGGTTTTGAAAATTTATCCGCTAAACCCCCAAATCTGCTATACCGAGGTCCGCTATACCGAGACTCACTGTGTAATTTCTAAATTTCTCATATGGAGACTGGACCAACAAAACACGGTTCTGGGCTCCTTGACTCAAAATTGAGCTTTTTGTATCAAATTAATTAGCAATTCAAGGATTATATTTTGGTACAATTTTTGATGTGTAAAAGTATAATACAGAAACGTATAAAATGAGATTGAATCTTTTTATATTTTTAGGGGACCAAATTTAAAAATAAATGATCAGCAAAGAAATTTCTTAAAATGTAAAATTTTAAAATTTATTTTTAAGGTTCCCAATCATCAATTGAGTTTTAATAAACAAATCCATTTCTTTTTTATCTAAAGCTTTTAAATGAATCAAACGCTTAAAAAAGTGCCTAAATACAATTTTTTCAAAGCAAGGGCAGAAGTTTTTTAACTTTCTAGGCCGAAGACAAGTGCAATTAGCAGAACTAGAAAAAAATTCCTTTATTTCAGCAACTGTATTAAATACTAACTCATTATCTTCATATTCTTCTAAACCATATTCAATTAAATCAAAAAAAATATTGTTATTTTCAGCAGCCATTGTTAATATTATATTAATATTAATTTTTATTTTGAATTTAATTTTTAGTTTTTATTTAGAGATCATTTAAATGTGTACTACATAGATCTAAAAATAGGGGGCTTTTTTGTTTTTGTGATTTTCTCAAAATTAAAAATTAGTTTGAGAACCATGTTTTGTTGGTCCCGCCCCCATATACTACTAAAAACCGCAGGTGTTCCATTGTTTGGAATGTATGTTATTATTTTTTTTTTTTCAGAGAAATTGTTCTTATAAATAGCTAGCTGTCTAGCTAACTGTCATGTGTAATGAATGACAGGATTTAAAACTACCAAGCGATAAAAAAATCTGTGAATATATGTAAAAAGCTCACTTTGCGTAAAATTTCTGCCAAAAAATTATTAATGTATTAATTTTTTTGTTTAATATAAAATTTCAGATCAATTAATATTAAGAATGATAGTGAAAATTTATAATTATTATTATCACAGTGTGTTTTTTGTAGATTTGATTCACCACCACCATCATCTAAAATCAATAACAAAACATTCAAAAAAATTTTAAATGTCGTCATTTACCACACTCATTCATTCATCAATTAATTATTTAAAAAACATTAACAAAAATTCTCTGGAAAGATCAGAACTGGCTCAAATTATTGCTGAACAAAGAAATATTTTCAATCAAGCCCAACTAATAATTACTTACCTTATATTTTTGGAGGAGAAATAATAGTGCTGATAGTAATGATAGTAATTTTTGCCTATCTGTTAGGAAGAAAGAAAAAAAAAGAAAAAAGAAAAAAATCAAGGAATGAATTAATAATATTAACTGTTGTCATGTGACAACTGTTCTTTCTGATGTGTTAATATACATATTCACCTATACTGATAATTAATTCGAGTTATGTAGTAAATTATTTTTCTTCTGATTTTCTTTTCTTTCTAGCTTCATCATTGATGTCTTTTTTATTAGTTATGATTTTTTTTTCCTCTTGGTAAATTTCATAGGTATTTTTTCCTTTCCTTAATATTAGATAAGCTTCGAAAACATAAGGGACATTGTTCCTTTTTCAAATTACTTTTCATTTTACAATAATTCTTGGATTCCATGGTGGATTTGATGTAAATGAGTCTCGTATTAATTGTTTTTATATAAGAATGGATCTAATGGGACACATTACATTGATGAAGACCAAATTTTGATCTTCAAAGTTCTTGGAACTACAAACGTTCACTTGTCTGATTTCGTTGCTACACATGCCAAAATTAAAATACTCTTGAAGCTATATACCTTTTTTTCAATCAATTCAACATAATTGCTTGGATATATTTAAACCTTATTTTCTTCACCTTTTTCATTTGTTTTATACAATTCCTTGTTGGTAAATATGCTGGCTTCACTCTTGGCACAGTTACGTATCGTAAACTTTTTCATAGTTGAAGTTATAAACATGTGAACATCGTTTACAAGGTTTGACTTTGTCAATCGTCAACACAGATTCCCGATCAATAATGTTTTGGTTAGAATCTGTTGTTATTATTCTTGTGTAACAGAATTCAAACATAGTAACAGTCACAGGACATTTCCCACC